TGCCCTCCAGCTGCTTTCTGAGACAGGCCCTGCTTGATGCCCTCTGGGCTCCCTCTCTGGACCTGTGGGCTGTGTGGGACCTGCTGTGGCATGTGTGATCACACCTTGGGGATGTGGCCAGCACTTGGTGTGGGGCTGGCACTGACCGTGGGGCTGGCGTTGGGTCCTCACTAACACAGGCCGCCCAGGCCCTTGGCTCCTGTGCACAGGGTGTCGCAGGCAGGGGACAGCTCTTGTTAGCAAATACCGAGCATTCCCCGCAGCGTTCCCAAGCAGCCGGCTGTGTGGATCCATCCGTAGCGTGAGCAGGCCGGTTTGGGGCTGGGAAACCTCGTTCTGGCAGCAGCCCCTCATGTGTGTGCACGCGTGGGGGCTTGTGCGCCCAGGGGGGGAGCCGTTTAGCCCCCCCGGCAGGCGGAGCGAGGCCCCGCGCCCCGGAGCCCCCGGCAGGAGCAGGAGCAGGAGCAGGAGCCGTCCCGGCCGCGCGGAGGGACGGCTGCCGCAGCACCGCGTCGCGACGCCGCAGCCTCGCGCTAAAGGTATTCTTCCTTTTCCCTCCTTTGCCTCTGTTTTTTTTTCTGTTTGTTTTCAACTAGGACCCCTACTATGGCTGGTGGCCTATTTTCTATTGACAGAAACTACTTTGAAGAGATAGGAAGTTACGATGCAGGAATGGATATCTGGGGTGGCGAGAATCTTGAAATGTCTTTTAGGGTAATGGCTGTTTTCCTTCATTTTCTGTCAACCAACACAGTTATGCTGTAACACAGTTGTGCCTACTATGTACACAGGGCCCTTTCTTTATAGCTAACATGCAAGTTGTCGCTTAATTCAAATCCTCCAGGTGCTCGGGGATGCCTCCCTGTAGCATTTTGGTCACTTTTTATTGCATGAAAAAATCATTTCTGCTTGGAATTTTTTACACTGCATTTTAATGTAATACATATTTTGGCAATTTATCTTTGCATTAAAAGAAGGCTTTCCCTGACACTTAGGGTTTGTGCTAACAAATGCTAACTGTCATAAGTAAAGTATAAATGTGTATAGTATAAACGATCCAAAATTGTGTTTTAAAAGAAGCTTTCAAAATTATGTCATCGTGAATTTGCAAGTTCTGCCTGGAATTGTTATTCTTTTTCATGTACGAGAGTCAGGCTCTCCAAGGAGCTTCGCATCCTGCAGAAAGTGCCGCTATTTCTGTCAGTGAGAGGTATTTTCCTGGGCCAATAATAAAACCTCTTTGAGGGAAAGGAATTTATTCATTAAATGTCTTTTGGGCACAAATTGAAATTGGAAAAATTAGCTTAACCCTAATTATTAGAAAGGCTGTTGAAAATGACATTAAACATCTCTGAAGTATCACAATTTTTGCATGTTTAGTAAGTACACAAAGTAGAACCTGGTGTAGCTATCCGTTCCTATACAACCTTATGGTTATATCCTTCTTTTCTTTCTTTTTTTTTTTTCTCTTTTGTTTTCAGGGTTGGGGTTGGTGACCTATTTTCTATTGGCAAAAACTACTTTGAAGATGTCAAGCAGACATATCTAGAGGAAATGACCTGAGAATTTGGAAGGATTTTCATGCCATTTTCTGTAAACTATGCCTCATCCAGCCATCCAGAAAAGCAGAAGGGTAGAGAGACCTTTCCTGAGTGCTCATGTTTTAAATGAGGCGCTGCCTCCGCGGAGCCCGGCCCGCTCGTTCCTTTGGGAAGGCCCCGTGCTCGTTGCCGGAGAGGCCAATGTGCTTTGGCTTTTCCAGAAAAAATGCTGGGTCTTCCTCATAAGCAGTTGATTCTAAAACCCAACCCTAACGCAGGGCACAAGCAAAGGGGGTTTTATTCAGGGCACGTAGTGGAGAATATAGAGGCTTTTCTTTTATTGACTCCTATTGGCAGTGGCTATATTTTTGAAAAATAGATGCTGTAGCAGCAATAATTCCTAATCATGAAGGCCCTTGTGTGAAAGGCTTTTGTTTCCTTAGCTGACCATTGCTCAAGTAACGATTCTGTCATTCTGTTAATCCATGCATATGCTATTTGCTATTGCTGATGTTGGGTTTTCTCAGATCTACCTCAGCAAAACAATAGAATTATTGCAATAATACTGTGCAAAGTCATGTGATAGTGAAATAATCCAGGATATAGGTGACCCTTTATATTAAATAGTGCTTGCTTGACTGCTCTTGAAACGCAGAAGTTGTTAGGAGTCAAGGCTGCCGCTCGCAGTTTCTAAAGCAAAAGGCATGTTAAGCATCAAGGAAACGTTATGATCAGGATAGCAGTGGTAGATAAGGGCGTTTTTTTTACAGTCTCCGAAAATCCACATCAATTGTTCAGCCTTTAGTCAGGCTAAAGAGCATCAGGGAGCAGTCAAATTCGTTGGCAATCATCTTATGAGCATGCAGCTTGCACGGAGCCAGAGCTCGGCCTCACGCAGCGTCGGAAGCTCTTCTTCCTTTTTTTTTTTTAATACAAAGTTTGTCCGAAATAGGTGTTTTACAGCAATTGCTGTAAAACTCTTTGCTTTTTAACCATACCAGAAAATTACCTTAGGAGACATTCAAAAGCCTTAAACTTTTTAGAGTTCTTCAGGTGTTTTTCATCTTCTGTTTAAGTCTCTAAGTGCTTTTTCCACAATCAGAGAGCTCCCAGAGCACTTAGTGTTGCGGAAGGAGCTCGCGTGGGACAGGGCATTGAATATAATCTGTCAATCAGAAATAAAATTTGTTTTTTAGGAGAACAGACGAGATGGGGCTACAGGAAGCGGCGTGTCCTCTAGCAGGAGCGTGGTGCTGCTCAGTGCCCTTGTGCAGCTGATGCTGCATGCCCGCGTGTCCCTGTATCCTCCTCGTTAGCACGGGATACTGAGGTGTCCTTTGGGGTCCTGAAATTGGTTTTGACCATTGAAAAATTGAAGTGCAGCAGCTACTGGTGCCCTCCGTGCTCCCTGCTGCCCTGCAGAACAGCAGGGACGAAGCCTTCCCAAGCGCACGTAGGACTGCTAGGTTTTTAATAGCAAATTCTTAGCTTGACTTTATTGGTCTCAATTTCCAGCTGCAAGATTGTAGGTGTAATAGAGCATTTAAAAATGCCGGAGGAAACATTTCTAGCATGAGCACTGAATTGCATGCCTAGAAAGAGCAGCGCAGCCTGTGCTTGGGCAGCTGTAGCCAGCCCTGAACAAGCTGGCAAGGCTGCAGGCACACAGGGTTTATTTCAGAACCATGTCATGACATTGAAAGTGATGCTGGCTGTTTCTGAGCAGAATTTTGGCTATATAAATCTCTAATCAGCTCCCAAATGCACAAATTGAAAGTCTACCTGTTTTTCAATACTCTTTAGATGTTTGACTGTATTGATTGAATTTGAGAGCACAGTTTGCTTGCAAAAATGTACTTAGAATAGGTTTGTATGCTTAAATTTAAGGCATACATTTTCCCCTTTCTTTGAACTGGGTTTTCTTATATGTAAAAATTTTCATAGAGGAAATTATTCAAGATACAGCACTTAATTTCATTATAGACATCTTTTATGCTGATGTTAGAGCTTTCAGGGCTTTTTTTCCTAAATTTTACTTAGGCATTGCTGGATAACAGCCAGGAAGTGTAACTTAGTGATTGCAGGGATCTTGGGGGATTTCTGCTGCAGCTCTAGCCTGTGCTTGTTACACGTGAGGGCTGTTTAATCCAGTAGCAGCATCAATATGCACACTCAGAAGAAAAAAACCTTCTATGTATAGGGATGTTTATTTTTTAAAATGAAGTACATAAAATTAACATACAAAACAATTGCTTTTTGCTGTATCTCTTCAACCTAAGGTTCCAGTTTTGGTTTAAGCTAAGAGTTTGGAACGCAGTGTGTTTCATTTGCAGTTGGCTTTGCTTCTGTTTGCCCTGGAAGGAGCTTGCATGGAGGTGAAACCCCGGAACGGGGCAGCGGGCAGTAAGGCAGGAGTGTCCTCGCCAGCGCTCCGCGTTGTAGAGGTTGACTCGTGGAGGGACAGCAGGGCCCACGCGCCAAATCCGGCTGCTTCCCCCAGCCGCCGGCTCCAGGTATCCATGGAAACTGCTGGGCACCGGGATGCAGCGCCCGGGATGCAGGATGCAGCGCCCGGGGATGCAGCGCACGCAGGACCGGGCTGGCAGTGGAGCAGGAAGTGTGGGGAGAAGTGGGGCTGGATTGCGGGGTCATTTTCCACAGGCCAGGTGCGCGCCTGGCCTGGAGCGCACGGACAAGGTTTCCAGCTGGCAGGCGCCGAGTTTTGCAGGAACTGGCTTGGACTCTGTTCAGGAATGATGGAAAGGGGGACGATTGCACCAGTGGGGAGGCAGAGCCACTGCTCGTAGGTGTGATTAATGTCTGCACTTCAAAAGGAACACGTTGTGTGGGTACATGGCGGGGTGGTTGTCACCCCAGGGAGGCCGTGTCTGAGCACAAGTTTTGAAGGGATTAGTGTTTGTAAGCAGGAAGATAAATGGAAGTGGGTTATAAGCTGGCATGGGTGTGCAGAAGGTAAAGAATGAAATGCTGGGTTGCAGAGCTCGTTCTGCAGACCGGGGAAATGTGGCAGGGCTCCTGAAGCTGTCCCTCACCAGGACATCACAGGGAAGGACACGCTGGAATCGTCTCCGGGATCAGGAGCCCATGGAGATCGGTACGAGCCGGGCGGGTGGAACATGGCTAGTGCTGGAGGAGACAGGCAGCTATTGCTCCTTAACAGGGAATTTACAGCCCGGAGCTGTCACCGAGTGTCCCCTCACAGGAGGTGGGGAGTAAGCAGCTAGAAGGTGCTGACATGGAAGGTCTCAGCAGTGCAGGGAAGGGTTTGGAGCATCTGGGTGAACTGGGGGATTTGAGCAGCACTCGTAGGGTGATGGATCAGCAGAGCAGAATGAGAGGTCGGAGAGCAAGGAACGAGTGATGGGGACATCGGTGTAGGGCAAGAGCTGGGACGGCTGCAGGAGAGGAGGGCCTGGGTTTCTGGAGATTTACATTTGCTGGCCCTGGGAGCCAAAAGAGGGGCAGAGAACTACCAGGGTGGGGGGTTTTGCCCCCCAAGTGGAAGCTAGCAGAGCTTTGATTGCTTGATTTAATACTGAGATTTTGAAAATACCTGCTTTTTGTGAATGCATTTAGGTAGGAGGAAAAGGGATGAACAGCAGGGGAGAAGAGAGGGAATATACCTTCAGTCTTAACGACTGTCATGTGGCAGTAACTCCTTTACGAGTAATCTGGATTAGAGGTGACAATCTGGGGCGCTCTGTGGGGGGAGGCGCGAGGGGCCCCCCGGCTTTGCTGAGGTTCCCGGGAGAGGTAGCTGGGATAGCCCGGAGCACCCTCATGAAGCATCAGCCATAAAGTCATTGCTGCGCTTAAAAAATCCAGGCATGCTGGAGAAAACATAGGATATAATTCCTTGAAAGGATCAAGGCATTTGCTTCCAAAGAAATTTTGCTGGAATACAAAAAAATGCAATGAGTGCTAAAAGGAGAAAAGACTGGAATGAAATTTAATAGCAAATTCTGCTGCCTCTGTGACTTACCTGGAGCAGCTGCAGGGTCCGGATAAGCTAGTGCTGAACGCTGAACGTCTGGATTGAGAGGCTGGGACACGTTTCCTGTTCCGCGCCCCGCGCGCCCCGGGGGCCCCGCCCTGCCCCGAGCGGCTGGTTGTGGCCGGTGCCGGCTCTGCTCGTCCCAGCAGAGCGCATCACTTGGCACGCTAATGAGTTATATAAAGGGGTTTATCCCTCATTAAATAAAGTGTGCATTGAGTTACTATGGCAACAGGTGCGTGTGTTCCAAGGAGCTGTACTTAAAGCGGTGTCCCTGTTCTCAGGTGTCTGGTAGCAGATGGTTCCTCGGCCGTGTTTGCTGTTGGGGCGGTGTGCTGTGTGCGCTAGTCCTGCCGCCCACGGGAAAGGGCGGGATGAGCCTCAGGGAGGAGTTGGAGGGATGAATCCCAGAGCCGGCCGCTGTCCAGCGGAACAGCAGAGCCCGGGGGATCCCATGGGAGCCCATCCCCGTCCCGTCGCGCAGAGCAGGGCGCAGCGCCGGTGCCGCTCCGGGCCGGCGCAGTGGGGCCTCGGCACACCCCGAACGCGGTGCCCCGCGGTGGGTGGCGCGGAGGGGCCACCGGGGTCTGCAGCAGCCGATGCTGCGTGGGCTGAGCACAGGGATACGTTCCTGGACACTTGCCTTAAAATTCATGGCATTTGGTGCGGATCGCTGGGAGCGAGTGACGTAGCTGTCCTCCCCGGCGTTTCCAGAGGCAGTCCTGGAAAGGGGGATGAAGGCACCATCCCGAGCCCAGGCAGGGCAGGAGCTGCTGTGTATCCTGGCCAGACTGCAGGGATCTAGCAAAACAATCTCACTGCTGCTTCATTAAACAGCAGGATGGCAAAATTTGGGATTATAAAATTGCTTATACTAACACAGTTATACTGAAGGCACTGGGCTGACTTGGAGCAGAGCTTTTTCTCCAGTAGTGTCGAGGGAGAATTTGCACCTGGGAAAAGTTCTTCGAACTCCCTTCTTTGTGTAAAACTTCTTTTTATAGTAGACCATGCCACTCACCTGGCGTATGAGCCAGCGAGCAAAGATTTTGCATTTGTGTTTCATTTCCGTAGCTCTGTGGTGTTCAAGGTTTCTGTGCTGCTTCCTCTGCATCTATTTCTATCTGTAGTATTAACTGAGGTCTGCGGCACCTTGCTCAGAATGGCCCTAAACCTGCTACTGATTTAAAAAAAGAAAAAAAAAAGAAAAGAAAAAAATGCACTCTATTTTTTAAATATTATGAATTCGTGAAAATTTCAAATACATGGGTAGCATCAGTATCACTTGTAACAGTCTGTTACAGGGCTACATCTTTCTAAAATTGTGGAGGAAAATGTAGCTGTGTATGTTTATGTCATAAGGCCACATAGCCAAGTATACCGTTCACACAAGCTTTCATACTGCAATTAAAGCCTGTGAACTTACCTTTATCATCAGCTATTTACAGTTTGCCTTAAGCTTTTGCTTGGCATTCCCTGTTGGCTTTTGACCCGGGGAAGCAAAGCAGGAGATCCCTGCTAATGAGCAGTGAGACAGAGCCCCTCCTGCGCGTCTCGGCCGTCCCGGCCGCGCTCAGCGCCTCCCCCGTGCTCTCCCTGCAGGTCTGGCAGTGCGGGGGCTCCCTGGAGATCGTGACGTGCTCGCACGTGGGCCACGTGTTCCGCAAGGCCACGCCGTACACCTTCCCCGGCGGCACCGGCCACGTCATCAACAAGAACAACCGCAGGCTCGCCGAGGTCTGGATGGACGAGTTTAAAGACTTCTTCTATATCATATCCCCAGGTAATCATTTATTTTCTGGTCATAATTATATGTAAAGCTATTTAGTCTAAGAAACAGAATTTGGCCAGGTTGCCCCTTCCTTGTTCTGCGCCTTGAAGGTCCCTTCAGAAGATGCTGGTGAGTGGGACAGCGGAATTGCTCTGGGTCACAGCCTGAAGAGCCAAGGTCTTGTAGGGCAGAGGAATCCCAGTGCCATGGAGCACCTTTCCCAACTTCTTCTGTCTTGCCTTTGCTAGGTATCAGTCCTGAATGAAAATACTGTGTTTTAAATACTTTTCCTTCCTTGTGATGGTTTTCTTTTACGTTTCAGTACAGCACACGTAGCATGTACAAAAACTATACACTTGCATGTGATAAGAGATGTTATTTCTGCTGTTACACATTGTTAAGGCTTGTACATTGTGGGTAGATATTTTCATGCAGTAACTTAATGCAGCTGTACTAGGATTTGGGATGCTTCCATCCAGAGGAGATTGTGTCATCCGAATTAGTGAGTGAAGCGGTGTAGATGCAATAATTTGGGAGTCAGATATGAAGGTTTTACTCGAGCCTGCGCCACTCCAAGCTGTGCCTCGGAGAAGGACGCGTCATCCTGGTCATCCTGCCCGGCTCCGTACGCAACCTCGTGCCCGCAGCGGTCACCATCGCTCTGGTTTGTATGAAGAGGGAACACGTGAAGCTCTATAACATCTTACTTTGACTTTTCTCTTTTACTTAAGCATTAGTTTACTTCATGCAGCTCTTGAATAATTCTTTGGAATAGTTATAACCATGCTGAAGGCTCTGAGATCATGGTATCCATGTTCTTATTTTTGTCATTGAAAATTCATCTGCTCAATAAATAAACTTGGAATAAATCAGTTTTGATCAAATTTAGTGATTCAAATGAAGCCTTTTTATTTTCTGGATTAAAGACAAGAATTAAAGACTTAAACCTGTGACCATGAACAAAAAAAATGAGTGTCTAACTGTGAGCTGACTCACTGGGGAAGACTGTTTTGCACCTGTAGATCAAATAATCTCTTAGTTGGTCTTAAAAACCATCTGTATGATCTGAGTCTTTTTTTCAGTGCACCAGCACAAGTAACTTTATTTGGCTGGAATAAATGAAAAAATAAAGAAATACACTTTAGAAAACTATTTCCATTTTAAAAGTATTTGTAGAAGATGGCAAATCATTGAGCAGTTGTTTTACTAACACTTTAAAATTATGCAGTAAATGAAAACTAAATCATTTCCATTTAGACCCAGAACATACAAAGGCTTCACGTATGAAAGCCCATTATTTTTCATGGTATTTATAAATTATTATTTAAAATGCTAGTGGGAGTTGGTAGTCATACATTATGTAAGCTGTTGTCCTCACTTTAGTGTGTGCTCTTGGCTAATCTTCCCTGTTTTCCACCTGTGTATTTTTTTTTCAACTTGAATTCCGTAGCAACAGCACCTGTGAGTGCCAATTTTCACAGTCCCCAGGGATTAAAATCCAGACCCTGTCATTATCTGCATGTGTTTTGCAGCACAATTTCCTAGTGTTTTAGCTGAGCTCACGCAGCTGGAAAACCTCCTTGTTGCCACCAGCTCTTTTGTGGCTTCGTTTTTCTAGGAGTTGAGGGTTTCTGGGGTTGACACCCCGGGCGCCTGTGGACGGCTGCTCCGCGCGGTGCAGAATGCACTGGAACTGTTAGCATAACTGGTTGGTATTCTCCTGCCAAAGGAAGGGGAAAAATGAAAAAGAAAGAAAGAAAGAAACAAACCTTAATGCTGAGAAATGGATGGTTAATGTACGATTGTACGATTTACAAGTGAATTGAAAATCGAGGTGAGATGCAGTAGAGATCAAACCATGAATACTACCACATGGGACTGCCCACTCTTTAACTCAGTTCTCCTTTATTAAGTTCTCTTTCTGAGCAGTCCCATAATACCAGGTTCCCACTGCATTTTTGTTGAGCTTAGTGCACATCTATAATTTACCTGAAATTTCTTTTTTTAATTTTCTTATGGGTATGAGGCTGCAAATAATCTTAGTTCATTGAGCCTGGGGACTGTTACCCCCTGGGTGTTTGTATTCTGCCTTGACAGCAGGTTTTCTAGGCTGATTAGGGGTTAGTTGCTTTTTAAAGCATTTAGGTGAGCTGAAGCTCTAAATGTTCCATTCTGGGGGCTCTGTAAAATAGAATATATTTTAAGTGAGTTACTGGTAAAATGCATTAAGGTGCAAGTGACTGGAGTAGTGATCTATATAGCAGAATAATTAAAGATTTCCACTTTCAAGAAGAATGTAAGAGAAAATTACAGCTACTTAGTTTTCTAAAACATGCCAGCATTTCAGTTAAGAAATCCTTCAAATCTTGACATGTTTTAATTTTCAAATTCCTAAATGCAACACTTAGGTCCTGCATTGGATTTTCTTGCTATTTCTTTGCTCTCCTCTTGGCTTCTCTTGCTTCTCTTTTGTTTTGGGATCTTCTAGGCAGGGTCCCTTTGCCTGCAGCAGAATTCCTAAAGTACATCTTGCTTTTCTAATACTTTGTTTTCGCAGAAATTCTACTTAGATATTCTGGATTGCAGGAATGAGGAATTCAGAGCTGAGCAAGAGTTTAAGTCTGGACACAGAAAAAGGACATGTAAAATTATATGAGGTTTATGCCGACCTTTGACAGGCCTGACTATTTCTCCAGCCCATCTCCAAAAGCCTGAGTGATCCCCCTCAATGCCCCGATTTTCCTGCTCAGCTGTTCTGACAGTTTGATATGTCAGATCTCCAATTCAATATGTTGATTTGGGACCAACAGCTTAGAAGAAAGTACAAGTGATTAAAGTGAAAGAGTTTTTTGCCATTTTGCAGTAGACTCTGTTAACAGGGCCTGGTGCCCTTCATGCTGTAACCGAGGCCTCTGGGCCTCCCTGGGGCAGTCAGTGCCCTTTATGGCCCCTTTTCAAATTAACCAGAATGTAAAAAAGGATTAAGGTATTCATTCTTGATAACATAATGCTGAAATGCCTGTAGAACAGCTTAGGGAAGGGGCTCGTGTTGTATGTCGTGGCTTGCAGGGTGTTTTGGGGCTAGCCGGGCCCTCTGAGTGCTTCAGATCATGGGCGACTTCACAGCTGCTGCCTTTTGGTTTATGTGGGGAAAGGTAAAATAGCAAAGTGCCCTGTTCTGGAGTCAGGGGGCACAAGAAGTGGCATCTGCACTGCCAGAAATACGAATTTAAAGCAGTTTGTTTAAAAATCAAACCTGACTTGACTCCCTCTGAAGGGTTAAACACGTGGGGCAGTGCGGGTTGAAGAAGCAAGCTGTGAACTTTTTTCCTTTCTGTATAATGACTGCATGCTGGAGTACTCTGCAGTTGTCTACGTGTAGTTTATTTCTAGCTTTCAGATTTATTCATAATTTCTTAAATTATTCGTGTTGATCCTTCAATGGTTTTGGAATTTCTCCATACATACATAGAGGCCTTTAAAATCAGTAAAACTGGCAAGAAGATCATCTGTCCCTGCTTCTGCTACTCCGGCCCATCGTGGCCTTCTGAGTCACTCTTTGCTGATGGCTTCATCTTCATAAAAGTCATTTTGAGGCCATGCGTTACCATTTCATTCCATGGAAATAATTTAAATAGTCCTAGATCTGCTTCATATTTTCTGATTTTTTTATTATTATTATTATTTATGGATATGCTATATAAATTGCCAGTTGAAATGTCCCTCGGGTTGAAGAAGCAAAAGAAGTAGAAAGGTAATTAGGGGATGTAGAAAACAAAGTTGACGTTGTTTGAACTAAGAAATCTTAATGAAAATGTGAAGGAGATGTTAGTTTTTTTTTATAGGTCATTGCTGAATGTCAGAAATTGTTACCAGAATCGCTAAACTTCCTTTTTATCCTTTTGTCTGACACAGATTCCTTTTGCTTTATTAATCAGGAGAACAGAGATCTCTAGATAATTCTGCTGGAGAACAAAGAAAGTTGCATTTTCCTAATTAGGCCTCGTAAACCCTTATCCATCAGCACGCGCTCATCTGCCCGCTCTCCTCCGGGATCCGATTCACTTGGTTTCCTAGATTATGTCCTAAGAGAAAGAGGAGCCCGTGGTCGTTCTCAGTGATTGTACGTTAGACACATCCCTTGGCTTCGTTAGGGTGCACACCCGGTAATTGCAGTTCTGAGGTCTCCAGGAGTTGTTTTAAAGGGCACAAGTTACTACTATGGTCCTAACCTAAAGCTGCAGGTAAAATAGAGCTAAAAGCCTTTCCTCCTACATGTTGGTCCTGTTTCACGAATGTCGGTTTATAAATATCTTAAGCAGAGGAAGCAGAACTTCTGTGAAGACAGAAGTGCCCCCTCATAATCAATATGCTTGAATCAAGAGAGATCAAATTCTTGTTTTGTCTTACGTATCACTTACTGGGCCTCTACTTTATTTCGAATCCTGCAATTTTGTATTTTGGTCCAAGTGAAATACTTCCACCTTTGTCACCATGAGTAGGTATCTTTTTCTGCAGAACAGATACGTTTATCCAATTTTGCCACTATTTCCTTGTGTGCGTATTAGCAGGATACACCCATTAGGAAAAGCACAGGTAATGCAATTCCATAACCATCCATTTGTTCTACTTGAAACATAGCCGTGCTGTTCAATTCGTCTGCCTCCCTCCCCAGGTCGTTTCTAATCCATTATGTGGCACATTTCCCTCCCTGTAGCTTCTTCCAATGTTGATTTTTTTTTTTTTTTTTCCTCAGGGGTGTTTCACTCCCATTTTCTTACTCGGATATGAGCAGAGCTACTAGTCATTATTTTTGCACTTCCTCCGTGTCCCATTGATCACCCAGCAGGTAGTGGCACTCAATAGGTATTGATTTGGATTAGACTGGGGCCGGTGGGTCGGAAGGGAGCGCAAGGGCTTGCTTGGGGCCCGTGTGAGCGAGGCTCTTGCTCCAAGGAGAAGCTGAGGCGCTTTGCTCGGAGCGGGCACAATGGTGAAAAAAGGTCCCTTTAGAAAGCAAAGATGTTCCTGGGTCACTTCTGTGTTATTGCCATTTTTGGTGACAGAAGGTTCCTGAAGAGCAGTCCCGTGCAGAAGGATCCCAGCAAAACAGCCCTGGATGCCCCGAGGGGCCGCGGGGGCCAGGCAGAGCTGCGACTGCTGTGGAAAAACGCCCTGTGCATCCTTTGAATCCCGAGACCTTATCTAAGCTGGAATTTCAATTAACCCCTTATCTGCATGGTAAGCACCTTTTCGGATGAGACTGGCTGGCATTGCCGTAAGCGGAAAAGCTGGTGATGAAAAGAGAGGAAGACTGATATCCGCATTTTCTCTCTAGTGGTGAATTTGGAAATGCTTCATTTCTGCCGATGATAATTTTAAGGCCCTTCCAGGCTTTTAAGAATGACTAATGGTTTCACGTGGCTCCACTTTGAGCAGCGAGCGTGAATTACCTTAATGAGCAGTGCTTCTCAAGTGCAAGTGAGCACATTCTGCTCCAAAAAAGCCTCAAAGTCCTGGGAGCCCTGAGAGCATAAGAACGGATTCAGGAAATTCCGCTTGGAGAGGACATCGGAGGGCGTGTGGGCTGCCCGCGTGTCGCGTGAACCATCGTGGTTTAGCCAGTATATGTCAAATTAACCGCCGGATCGGGATACCTGGGGCTGCTCACGCGTGTGATGAGGTGTACTGGGATGAGAGTTGACATTTCAAAAAGTAAATTATTAAATAACAACCATGATACTGACCTTTGGATGGTTTTAATCCCTGAGAGACAGCAGAAGGAAATTGCAGGCTGAATGTGATGCAGTGCTGCCCTGGCTTGAGCTCAGCCTCCAGCAGCAATCTGCAGAGTACCCTCTGGGCTATTTTTTATCAAGAATTGAATAATCTCCTGCAGTTAATCATACTTTAGCCTAATTTCTCAAAGGCTGAGCAGGCAAGTACTTGGGAAATAGATATCAGACACTTTGGGTTTTGTTCTTTAGTAGCAAGGAAGAGGTCAGCTGTTGTTGCTTACTGAGTTTCTTTAAGAATTGCTATCACCTTGTGCTTCAGGGCCTCATTTCCTAGGAAAATACACTAATATGCTTGGGCTTTTACCTCTATAATAGTTTCAAAAAGATCTCATGATTACAGGAAAGGAGAAGATGATGGGAATGCAACATGTAACCTGGCTGGGTTTCAGTTATAAATCTGGTAGTGTCTTTGGAAGTGTCACCTGAAACTCTGTAAATATAACGAGTGCCACCTTCACGGACTCAAAACTGTCTAAAAAGCAGTAAATCAAACACTGGGACCAAAATATCCTTGCTCTTGGCAGCCCTCTGCTTGCATTTGCATGCACCGCAGTTGAGTTTGTAGAGCATTTCTTTAACATACTGATAAGAAAAAACGCTACCAGTCTGCTTAAAAACATATTTCAAAATTAAGGCCAGTAGGCTGAGGGATTATTTCCAAATTCCCAGTGCTGATAAAGACCACCTATATTGCTAACTCTAGAGAGATATATAGCTGTTATAAACTTGTGTAACTATAAACTTGCAGTTCGATCATTCATCTAGGAACCAGTTAGAATACAGAAGTATTTCTTGAGTATTTTTTCGGATGCTTTTGGGGCTGTGGTTCCCAGCTGCTCAGTATGGCCCTGAGCAAGGAGCTCACAGGCTCCTCGCTGTCCTTGGCTGTCCCGCCCTTCCCAAGGGTCGGGAGCATCGCGGGACACGTCGGTGCTGGACGGGTCTTCCTGCTCGGGGACAAGGGTTACCCTGAGCTCAACGTCATCTGCAAGGCTGCGGAAAAGTCAGCTTGCTAAGACGCCGTAAAAGGAAACTGGGCCTTACCTGTTGCACTGTCTTTATGGAAAAGAAGTGGAATATATTATGTTTTCCCCTCTGTAGCACTAAAATTGCACGGTCGACAGATTTCTTCTCAACATGATTGATTTTTCTAGCTCGTGTTGAGAAGTTCATCCTCTCCGCTCGCCTTCTCGCTGCAGGTGTATTAACTTGCCTTGGTTTTGTAATAGCACGTGAATGGATGTGGGTCTCTTTCTGGGAGCATCAGAACAAACAAACCCAGTAGAGCATTTAGTTAAACAGAACTTAGATGCGTTGTTATTTGCTCTGAAATATTTGGATTCTATCCAGTTTGGTCCTGACCTCCTAAATAAATAGGTTTTAATATTTGGGCATGTAAAGAAATCAAAAAATTCAACGACGAGGCCTTTCCAGATTGGTAAATTATCTGTAAAGGGGAAAAAAATACAGTTTTCAAGCATTTCAATTTGGTAAATCATTTATTTAATGCTTGTAAAGATATGTGTTGCAGCAGCTGCGTGTGTATTCATACAATGCTATAATTATAGCAAATGGATGATAATTAAAGGGAAATCATGAAAGCTGGAAAATGATCAGTGATTTATTCTTTGCAGTTATTCAAAACTTGTATTTTTGTGCATCCTCTTCCAAATTTCAGGTGTTGTTAAAGTGGATTATGGTGACGTGTCGGTGAGAAAAGCACTGAGGGAGTCTCTGCAGTGCAAACCCTTCTCGTGGTACCTGGAAAACATCTACCCCGACTCCCAGATTCCCAGGCGCTATTACTCACTTGGGGAGGTAGGAATTATTCATTAAACTAAGTTAGAACAATAAGTAAGTAGTGTGAGTGAGGTTATTACTAATGACACGGAATGTTCCTGGAGAAGTGAAGAAAGAGCTTGTGAACATCTCTGTATTTATCTTTCATTAAAAATGTATCTGACAAATTGAATAGTATATTGAAAAAAATATGATCGTGACTATTGCTTATAAATTATTAAATAACATGTGTTTATATAGAGTATGAAAGCCCTTTTTTCTTTTTCTTTAGTAAAATGTTTTTGTTCATTTATGCTGTGTTTTCCAGCAAGGCTGCCTAGAGCTTAATACTGCAAACATACCAAAAATCTGGTGAGGATTTGAGTAGGGCTGGGAGCTGGTGGCTTTTCAGGATTCAGATAATTTACTGTTAAAGATACTCGACTGAGTCAGATCTAAGCCGACGTTTAAAAGCCCTTGAATGCCCTGATTTAAAATGACTGCTGATAGAGCAGCAGTCAAAAGAACATACAGTTTTATTACATCCCGGAAAGGAATCTGCTTTTGAATCTTGTAATTGCAATGAGAAACAAAAGTCACAGGAGGGTTTCTGGTTTAACCATGACAAAATAAAGTCAAACATGGTTTTACGGCAAGGGAAAAGCTCATCTAACAGATGTCAAATGATACAGTTCTGTGTGATGCTGTCAGGCTGGGAAACAGAACCCGTGAAAATAATAAAATAGTTATTAAAAACACAGTGTTTTCCCCAACACAGCTGCAGTTTCCAAGGGAACGAGCGCTCAGGCAGGAGCTACGAGCTGGAGCTCCTGCAGTTGGGCAGGGAAGGGGGGTTTTGTGCACCCGGGAGGGACGGCGGCCCCGGGGCCCCGCTCGGCCCGCGCGGAGCCCGGAGCTGCTCAGCAGCCCCTGAGCACCGGCACCTGCCTTGGCAGCCAGTGAGAGAAAATCCGTCTCCAGCGCAGCTCACCAAAATGCCACTCTAGTTTTTTTTTTTTTTTAAGTGAAATGCACTGTTTTAAGCCCATTTTTTAAGGCATGGAGCTGCCCCAGTGTGGTGTTCCTCAGAAGCTCCTAAGCTTCTGCAGGAGAGCCTTGATCAGCAAGTTCTGCAAATCACCAAATTTTGACTTCACACTGGAATTTCCTCTTCAATTAGAACATAACTCCTATACATCTAGATTTTATATTTGATCAAACTTCCTAGAAGGATGAAAATATGCCCCCAAGAGGGCATATAGCTGGATGCACAATGTGGTGGGTGTTAACTGCTCTTCAGCTCTGTGTTTGCCTCACGTAACACTGACGCTGGATGCAAAGTAAATGCAAGACAGGAATTATTTTGTAAACCCAAGACATAACAACTGCAGATTATTTTTCAAGCAAGTGTTTGTTTGAATGAATTAAGGGGTTGCAAAACACAAACTTGTTTTCCATGGAAATACTTCAGACTGTGCTTCTACCAAAAGGTGATTAAGAAAAAAGGCTTGCAGGGAGCTTTCCATAAAATGGAGTTTGTCCTGGGAAAATTGAAGCAGCTCAGCAGGATGCGAGATGAGGGTTTTACCAGAACAAAGGTGAATTTTCAGCAGTTTTCCCACTTATTGCTGTTGAGGACTGGAATATTTCCCACTTCTCAGCATTCTCCTAATCAGCGTTTCTGCCTACAGCCCATTTGCCCTTTCCTTTAGCAGCGCTTGGAGGATTAAAAAATAAAGCACGCACCAGCGCTGCTTTCTGGGTGCTGAAAAATGCTGGAGTGGATTAA